CAAATAAATAAATAAAATCTTTAAAAAAAAAAAAACTATTTCATGGTGGTTGTACTTTGTGTTCTCCTGCTTACTAATGAGTTTGATAATCTTTTAGAAGCATATTCATTGGCCTTTTATTTTCCTACTTTGTGAAACGCCTGCTTGTGTCTTTGGCAATTTTTTTTTTTTTGTATTAGATTTGTTATTGTGATCTAGTGGCAGAATTTCTTTATATACTTTGGAGACAGATCCTTTGTGGGTGTACATATATAAGGTACATTTTTACTAAGTTCTTGGCTTTCTTTCCTACAGGAAGATGCCAATGTCAGTATCAAAGCTGTGTGATGGAAAGAATGTGGTTAGATATTCTCCAGCTCCTCTCTTTTTCTTCCTTCTTCACACTTTCTCTACACCCTTCCCTTCTCTCTTTCTTGATCTGTGTCATCTTCCACTCAGTTTCCTTTGTTGTCTTCTTCTTTTTCCCCTTCTTCTCCTTCTCCACTTCTTCCTCTTTCTCTTCCTCCTCCTTCTTCTTCCTCTTCCTCCTCCTCCTCTTCCTCTTCTCCTTCCTATTATTCTCCTTCCACTACCTCTTCTTCTTTTCTTCCCATTCTTCCTCCTCATTCTCTTATTATTATCCCTCTTTTATTTTTCTCTCCTTGTTCTAATTAGAGACGATTCCTAAACAGGCAAGTTACCTAGAGCTAGGTGGATTTTTTTTGGGGGGGGGTTCATCCACTAAATGTGTTACCCCTTGAGGTCCTGGTTTTGAGCTGGGATGAAAGGGTGTGCAATCATTAGAAACTTTTGGAAAAGTTTCCTCCTTCATGCTATGCAGGAGGGCTGACCTCTCAAGCAGTCATATGGGGGTGGTCTGAAGATGGAGGTGAGGGGTGTGAAGATTTTACTTGTGCTTCTCTATTGCCCTGAGTCAACACCCTTTTGAGTGTCCACATTTTAAGTGGCATGGTTTGTTTGCTGTTCCCCAAGGTCCATGGGGTTCTTAAAATAGAGCTCTAATACAGTGATCAACATATACCTTTGGGGGATAAGTTGCTCTGCTTACTTCTCTGGGATCTTGCTTTCACCCAATATTTGGTCTGTTTATTCCTGATTATTTTATGAACATTTTTATACCGTTAGAAATACCTGGATTATATTTAAAATAACTATAAATTATTTCCAGCAGGATGATTGAATTGACATGTTTTAGATCACTTAGTTAGTAGGAACCTGGGTGACAACTCATTTAACTACTAACTGGTAATCATGAATTATTAGGTCAGTTTTGTTTTCCTACTTTACCTGGTCCAGGATGTGGAAACAGGGACTCCCCTCCCCTCCCTTCCCACCCCCCACCCCCTGACTCACCACCACTATCCTTTCACTGAGGGTGTGGCCCTTCAGGTTCCTATCTTAAAACGGGAGTCTCCGTGGCTCTGTGGCTTCACGGCTCCGTGGCTATTTGTCTCCTCACCCTGCACATTCAGACTCTCAGTGGACAGAGCTTCGCAGATGTCCTTTGGACAACTTTCAACTTCAGCGTTGTTTACCAGACTGTTGGGCTTTTGCTTGGCTTTGAGTTTTTATCTTTGTGCTTGTTTTTGTGTTTGTTTACTTGTTTGGCTTCTCAAGGATATCCATTACTTTTTTGCCATTTCTGCAACACATTGTAAAATATGCTTTTAATATTTTCTCATATCTATAGGTGTTTTGTGAAAGACTTTTTCTTTAGAAAACCAAATCCACAGTATTTTCAAAAGCCGGAGTCTATGTTTTTTCTTTAATTATGGGTCTTTTATTGTACAGAAATTTAAATTTTATAATGTAATCAAATTTTTCATTAGTTTTACTGATGGTTTGGGCTCTTTAGTCTCATTTACAAAACTCCCCTAGAGGTCATCAAAGCATTCTCCTGTATTTTCTTCCATCTGGAATTGATCTTTGTGCACTGAGCTTGTCATTACTGCTCTTTGGCCAATAGGTCTCTTTGTCTTCTAAGCCCATCTTGGGATTGCATGACCTGAAATGTCCTGGTGCAGTTGGGCCGTAAGACCTGTTCTGGCCAAGGAATCATGGGTGGAAGTATAGTTTATCAACTGAGAATTTAATTGTTAACTGAGACCCTCTGGGGCTACCTTTTCCTTTGCCACAGTAACTACCAATATTCCAAATTCCATCAGCCTGAGTTCCCAAATGTGAGTATCATAGAGCATAACCTCCAGGCAGACCAAAATGACTACATAGTGTGAGCAAGAATAAGCTTTTGTTGTTTTAAGATACTGAAACTTTGAAGTTTTTATTGCTGCAGTATAATCCAACACACTCTGACAAACTTAAACCATAGAATTAAAGAAAGGGTCACCAAAAAAGAAAAAAAAATTAAGTATTTGGTTAGGGTGAGTGGTAGGAAACCTGTTGAAGGGAAAAAGGATTAAAATTCATGTCATGCAGTGGCAAAGCCATTATTAGTCATGTCATTTGCAGTAACTTGGAGGAAGATTATGTACTTAATGAACATGTACTATTAAGAGAAGGAGTTGGAAAGCAAAATTTGCAACATGAGTTGGCTACTATTGGCAGCACTGGGTGAATTATTACAAGAAAAATAAATAAACTCAAAAAGGCTTGACTGGATTATAGACAGGGGGGAAAAAAGATTCTCCAGTGGAAAAACACAAAAGAGTCTCCAAAGAGAGAGTTCAGAGATTTGGGGATTTGAAAAGCTTGGAGAGGCTAGTGGTTCCCAAACCCTGTCAATATAAAATTTAAAAGATGTTTGTGTATAAAGGCCAGTTCAAATTTAGTTCCATTCAAGGATCAAATCTAGGACACAGTCCTCACGTTCCTTATTAACACAACTGAATATGTTAATCCATTTCAGAGCAAGACCCAAATAAGAATATGATACTCAATAAATCTTTTCATATGAATAAGACAGCTTGGGGAAAAGAGTAAAATCATGTGGCTGATATACCCAAGGTATGCTGCTCCAGATATCCAACGCTGCATGGCAAACCATTCCAAATTTAGTGACACAAAGCAAGATCCATTTTGTTATGCTCATGGATTCTGTACGTAAGGAATTTGGACAAGGCAAGCAAGGATGGTTTTACTCTATTCTGTGCTGTGGGATTCAGTTGTATGACATGAATGGATGGGGGTTAGAATCATCTAGAGGCTAATCATTCACATATCTAACACCTTTGCTGGGATGTCTCAAAGGCCAGGGTCAGCTGGGACTGTCATCCAGAGCATCTGCTACACGAAGTTTCTTCACATTGTTAGGACTTCCTCACAGCGTGGTAGCCTCAGGTGCCTGGACTTCTTACATGATAGCTTAGCACTCCAAGAGTGAATGTGCAAGGCATAAGCTACATAACTTCAATGACCCAGCATCAGCAGCCATGTAGCATCACTTCCTCTGCTTTTGGTCAAAGCAGTCTCAAGTCTACCCAGACTCAAAGGGATGGAGACAGAAACTCCAACTCTTAATGAAATGACTGTCTAAGAACTTGTGGCCACATTTTAATCAACATAGAGACAAAATGAGGTCAAAAGAGATAGAACAGCATAGGGGGAAGAAAGTAAAGAAACGCTTCCTCTTAACTAGCAGGAATCCATTCCTGAAAATCAGAAATTCTGCATGAAAATAAAAATTAGAAGTCTACTTCCTATTATTTAAGTGGGGAAAATTTATAATACAATAAATGTCAACATTTAGTCCTCAACTAATTTCCTAAAAGACAGAGTAGGACATCTGTCTGTAAGTTCTAAGCTATGTCGGGATATAAAATGCTTAAAACATCATTTCCGATGATCAAACAATTTAAAATGTTGTTAAACAATTACTTCATCTTCTCTAAGAAGGCCACACATCCCTGCAGACCCTCAGTACACGTTTCAAAGCATCCGCATGTGTTTCTGCCCTTTAACAAATGGTAATCAGAATGTAATGCAAGACTTTTACCCACATAATTTTATTTAAAATGTTCAGTTGCATTTGGGGGATAAAAATATAAATTTTGACTTAGGAAAATTGTTCAAATAAAAAATTGAAATTATATGTGTTTTAATTGTGAATATTAAGAACCAAAATGTGCTGTATCAAAAAGCAAGAGAGGACTTCAAAACTGCTATAGACAAATGCCCACAGAAGGCACTCATTCTTCCTCCTTTATAGTGGTTTTTCTGTCCTGTTTTGTCTCTATACACTGTGTAGGATGGTGCTTTGTGATCTTTTATCACAATCACCTGGGGATTAAGCATAAGTTCCTATACTCATAACTAGCATTTCTGATTTCTGAGGTCTGAGAATTTACATCTCAAATATTTGATAATGCTGGCCCACAATTTGAAGAATTCTTCTACAGAAGCTAGGAAACATTTTTTTTAAGGTTATAAGTCTCCAGATAAAGAGAAGCCACATTCTGACCCAACGCAGAGACCCTACACATCATCTCTGATCTCAAAACTCCCACCCATCGAGGAGTGGGGAGCCTGGGCTCTGAGCTGAATGCCATTTTATTAAAGGAGATTTTCTATTCCTCTCTTATGGGGAAGGAATGAGTTCATTTTGCTTTAGGAGGCAAAGTGGGCCAAATATTTGATTTAACAGATACATCCAGTTCCTCCCTTCAAGGCTCATCATGGTGATAGTGCAGGTTTAGATTCCCTTGGGGAGGAGGTCCGCTAGTTCTGGAACATAGGATTAGCTCTAGTCAATGAATTGTTCATGGAAGTGATGACTGTCAGTTTGGGGTGGAAACATTTAATCACCCATGTAACACCCTCCTTACCTCTTTTCCTTGTCACATCAGCCAGCGAAGTTCTAACAGTGGCTGCTTTGTCAAGCTGGCTCATGGACTTAAGGCAACGAAGAGCCCCAGGCAACACATAATGGGAACATGGTGTGATCACAAATTATACCTTTGTTGTTCTAGGTCGTATACTGCATCCCAATCTTATGGATATATATAGGTAGGAATTAATTTATGTTTTCAAATAACTAATCAGTTGTCTCACTGTCACTTATCAGTAGCTGATCTTTCTCCACTCTCAATAATATTCTGTAAGACAGAATATGTCATACTATGCATATAACCTAAAACTTGTTCTTTTTTTAAAAAAGATTTTATTTGTTTTAGAGAGAGAGCATGCGTGGGTGGGATGAGGCACAGAGGGGGAGGGAGAGGGAAGGAAAAGAATCTCAAGCAGACTCCTGGGCGGGGAGCCCGAGGCAGGGCTGATCCCATGACCCTGAGATCATGACCTGAGCTAAAACCAAGAGTTAGATGCTTAAACGATTGAGCCATCCATGCACCCCTAAAACTTGTTCTTTTGATTAACAAAAAACTAACTTGGGGCACCTGGGTGGCTCAGTCAGTTAAGCATCTGCCTTTGGCTCAGGTCATGATCCCAGGGTCCTGGGATCGAGTCTGACATCGGGCTCCCTGCTCAGTGGGGAGTCTGCTTCTCCCTCAGCAACCCCCTCCCCACTCGTGCTCTCTCTCTCTCAAATAAATAAATAAAATCTTAAAAAAAAAAACTAATTTTATGCCACAAGTTTTTTTCTGTAGCTGTAAAGATATTCCCAAGGTTAATGATGAAACAAGATGGATAGTAAGCGCTAGCAATTATGCTCTCCATAAGCAGTGTACAGACAAGTAAGCCAGCAATCTCTGGAGGGCATTGTTCTTAAAACACAGCAGCATGGGGGCTCCTGGGTGGCTCAGTCGTTAAGCATCTGCCTTCGGCTCAGGTCATGATCCCAGGGTCCTGGGATCGAGTCCCACGTCGGGCTCCCTGCTCAGCGGGAAGCATGCTTCTCCCTCTCCCACTCCCTCTGCTTGTGTTGCCTCTCTCGCTGTGTCTCTCTGTCAAATAAATAAAATCTTTAAAAAAAAAAAACAAAACATAGCAGCATGAGGAAGCAGTGAACGAGAGCAGACTGGCTAATAATGAGATGTCATGCTCTCTGATTTAGAGATTAAGAATCAGAATCGAAATGACCTGAACCAGTGCAGTTTTGTTTAAACTATTGTCTTGTTCTAGGAGAAAAAGCTCTGGATATTGAAAACACGACGTAATTTCTGCAAGGAGATAATTTGAAGCCAGACAGGAATGAAAGCTCTACCTACAAGCCCATGCTGAAAGGAGATTGCTGCACTTGGACTTGCATCCTGGAATAGAGTCTCATTCTGCAGGCACCTTGTCTAGAGGGTGAGACTGAGATGCCGGCAGTCCTCCTGCACCTGTTCAACTCTATGACTCTTAAGAGTGTTACTGATGAATATTAATTAAGCATGCTTCATGTAAATCATTCCCAGTCACTAAAGGCTGAAAGTCACAAATCCGTGTACATGTCAAATGAAAAACTCCTGTTAGCATATTTGACAACTGGAAAATTGTTGGGGCCAACATCTTTTGGAAATTGCTAAAATGAGAGAGTATTTTTACAAGAAATGTGTGTGGGAACCATGCAAATTTATTAAAAGCAAATGGATTTGGGGAAAGGAGCAGATTGAACGAATTTCCATCCTTCCTTCCTCGTTTTGTTGATAGTGGTAAGGGTGATGGATTTTTTTAAAAAAATAATAATGACCCAATTTTTAAAAAGAATTATAAAGTGCTTTTGTATATTTTGATACTTCAACTCCATAGGCTCTTCAACTCAATATTGCTGGCAATAACCCTTGGGGCAGGGTAGTCGCCCATCCACAAAGGATAGCATAGGAAGAAAGAACATTTAACTTCTAACATATTACTAGTGAGGAAATAGTTTGGCAGGAATGGCATGTCTCCTATCTGCTTTGGGATCGGTAGTACAGAACGGTTCAGTGTGAGGTTTCAGGCCAACATAGGTTAGTTACACGAGGATTGATTCTCAGCTTTTTCAAACTCTACTGGAAGTCATACATTGACCCATTAGGCTTTAGAAGCTACAATAATACAGTCTCTTTGCTTTTCACTGTAAATATATTTGCTCAATATAATGTTATATTGATGTGTATTGTATATCATCTACTACATTAACATGCATCATATGATATTATTTTAATATATATTATTATGATAAACTTGTTGATCAAAAGTTATACAGATCTTAGGCTAAGGCAAAATTGGAAAACATTAATGATTACTTATGAAAGGCAGTTTCTTTGTGGCAGTTACTTCTCTAGAGACACTGGGTCCCAGTGTGAAGGGGGCTAGAAAGAATCGATGAGGCCCCCTTTCCTCGGTTGCACAAAACCGGAAGTACTACACTGGTCTGTGTAGACAGTGGTTCAGCAATATCCTCCACTGTAATTCCACTTTTGGTATGGCACCAAGTAGTATTTGTTAATTAATATTAAATACAGGTGCCACAGGGACCTTTCAAGTATTTCTCTTTTTTTAAAAAAAGAATTTATTTATTTATTTGAGAGAGAGAGTGAATGAGAGGGAGAGAGAGAGAGAGCACGAGAGGGGGGAGAGTCAGAGGGAGACTCCCCTGAGTGGGGAGCCAGACATGGGGCTCGATCCCAGGACCCTGGGTTCATGACCTGAGCTGAAGGCAGATGCTTAACTGGCTGAGCCCCAGGTGCCTCTATTTGTCTCTTGCTTATCAAAATTTACATGGTCAGGTTCTAGGAAACAGAAACGATGGGTAAATTTCATATCAGTACACTGTGCTGCCCAAGTGGTATGTGCTTTATGTGTTGAAAGAAAAACCTACCACCACCTTTCACCTTCCCCATGGCCTCCCTTTTAAATACTCCTCTAGGGAGGATAACTCAGCTGCTGGATCCACTCTTTGCCGTTCCTACCTTTTCTCCTCTATTCTGCTTACAAGTCTCCAGCAGCTTGGGCGCCTGGGTGGCTGAGTCAGTTGAGTGTCTGCCTTGGGAGTCCTGGGATCGAGCCCTGTGTGGGGCTCCCTGCTCAGCAGGGGAGTCTGCTTCTCCATCTGCCCCTTCCCCACTTGTCCTCTCTCTCTCTCTCAAATAAATAAATAAAATGTTTTTTTTTTAAAAAAAGGCTCCAGCAGTCATCTGGGGACAATGAGGTAACCCAAGGTTGAAGACCAGAGCTAAAGGTGGCAGGGAAGAAAGAGGCAAGGAACCTGGGTCCTGAGGCCCACAGAGCCACCATGCCAATGCTAAACCATCTGCTTCCCAATGTCCTTCATATAATAGAACATAACTCTTTATCTTATTTAAGTTCTTTATATGCAGGGTATCTTTTGCTAGAATCAAAACACAGCTCCTTACTGACCAGGACTCAGTTCATCAGCATGCCCAGGAAAGGATGCAATAAGATAATAATAAGATATATAACATATTATATATACAAATATATACACACTTATACTATATGTATACACATACACAAATATTTTGTATGTATATAAATATATGAAATTGCAGTTTATATATATACAAGATTAACTGTAAGTTATAGTTAACTGAGAATTAAATGTAATTTAATACGTAATCTACAGAACTCAAGATATTAGAAGTCATTACAATTAGTTTTACTGAGAACAATCCCAAAAACAATCATTAAAATGTTGGTTCTTGTTGTTTTCTTTTCTAAAGATTTATTGGGTTGAACAAAGGTGTGTTCATATGTGTGTGTGTTGTGATTTTGACCTTCAACAGAAAAACCTCAGTTTGAAGATTCTCTTTTGGACCTTATCAACTAAAATTTTCCAACATAATCAAACACTATCAATGAGAATATTCATAGTGCCCAACCGTAGTTTCTAAAACCACAAGAGTAGAATGATTGATTCCTCTCCAGTGCCCTTTTAAACTACTTTTTAAAAAGCTATGTGCCCCTAATCTGGAGGACCTCCTCTTAGGTTGGAAATGGATAAATTATCTCAACAACCACTAAGCCAGGGCACTGGGCTTTTAGAAATCCCAACAGAAGTTTAGATTTACTTTGTATAAGAAGATAGATAAAAGACATATATTCTAAGCCTGAACCCTATCACCCAAGGTGGACATTAACCCTCAGAGCTGAGGCAGGGTAGCGCTAATGGGATTTTGTCCTGAGTAATGGCCCTTGTCTCTTTCTTTTTTTTTTTAATTTAATTTTATTATGTTATGTTAATCACCATACATTACATCATTAGTTTTTGATGTAGTGTTCCATGATTCATTGTTTGCATATAAAACTCACTGCTCCATTCAATACATGCCCTCTTTAATACCCATCACTGGGCTAACCCATACCCCCACCCCTCCCCTCTAGAACCCTCAGTTTATTTCTCAGAGTCCATAGTCTCTCATGGTTCATCTCCCCCTCTTCTAACAGACCAAAATACGCCCAAAATCTAATGTGTGTCACTGATCTATTCACCAGCCTGATCATGTTTGATCATATTCTTTTTGTTTTTTCTTTTTCTTTTCTTTTCTTTTTCTCTTTTTTCTTTCTTTCCCTTTCTTTTTCCCCAGTTTTGGGTCTCTCATGGTCCTTGTTCCTTAATGAACCCTTCAACAACTGCCAAGCTCAGAGACTCTTCCAGTCTGTTGAAGGAGACCTTTACTATCTCAGCTCTCTCTTCAATAATAAACAACAGAATGTTCCCAAGGTTCTGAGGGTAATTACAAATTTACCTCGTGCCAACAGCTTCATAATCGGGAAAACAAAGGCTGCTTTCAACCTCCATGCAGCCCCTGAGTGAAGTCTACCGGTCAGCCCGTTACAGAAAGTCAGCCTGTTATAGAAAGTAAAAGTGGAGAATTTTTCAGATGACCAAGGTGGCCAGCCCCTTGAGTGGAAAGACAAATCACAGGGGTTTTTTTATGGCTGGCTTTCCCCCCAAGCTAGAATGAGATAATAGTATAATGAAACCTTACAATTCTTTTTTTTTTTTTTTTTCTGAGCCATACTTTATCCACTGAGGAATATCTCCTGAAGGTTAAATATATGTGTGTTTAAGAATCCTATTGTTACCCTTTGTTTGAGAGAAAAATCACAAAGAAGGTAGGAATTGTTGAAAAGAATATGGTGAATTTGTAGCAGAATGACAATTGGAAAAAATCTATCTAACATTTTCTCTGTCAAGTGGCTTTCACAGTTGTCCCCTGGGAGCACTTACGTCACTTCTGAACACAATAAGGATAAATAAGCCTGTGTTTTCTCACAAGTGCTCAGCACACCCATGTCTATCTACCTTTTTCTCCTCTGAGTATCCACAGTCATCCCTGCAGTTCAGTTAGACAACGGTGGGAACCGGGCCAGCTCCATAATTCTCAGCCCTTTATCTTAACAGGATTTCCGAGAAGTCATGTGGATATGGATCATACAAATTATTCTGCCTTTTCGGCCCTCAGTAGCAGGAAAGTGTCTGCTAATGAGATTTCAGTATTGACAAACAATCAGCATTTTCCAGAAAGGAGATGGCATCATTTTCAATGTGCAGGAAACAATTTCTCAAGTTCAAAAAGCACAGGAAATATAAAATGATGGATTTAAAATTATGGTCCTATGGGCAGGTTATTTATTTTTGGCCAATATTTCTCAATAGAAATAAAGTATCTTTTTATTCTTTTTCCAATCTGGAGTCACTACCTACTGCTCCAAAAATCAGTATCTGATAATGGTAAATAATTCCCGCCCGTAGAGTAGCAGGACCTAAGTTCTCAAAATGTTTGGATACATACAAAATGAGCAGTACCTGGAATTCAAGTTCAACTAATGAGACACAATCTATCTTGTATTTGCCTTTTTTCATTTCCTGTGATCAACACGCAGAAAGGCAGCAGCTTCTAAAGTCATTTCCCAAAGTGGGTTCCGTTCATCCTTAGTAGAGAGTCTTGGACAGAAATACTCACAGGAACAAGTATGTGCCTCAGGGAAAACTATTAACTGTTTAGATCGCAACCTTCCAGGTTATTTGATTTTAGTCTCTCATTGTCTTTGAGCTGTTTTACAACACTGTAAGTCATAGGCATCTGATGGAAACACTCTATCATTCTTGTCTATAGACAAGCAGACTCAGTCCTCTGCTGTAGAAGAGCAAGAGGCTTCCCTTCCTGTCTTGTAGAAACATCGGTATTGCTTCCATATGCACATTCCTCTTAACATTCCTGATCTAGAAATGCATCAACCTTTTCTGTCTGGTTCTTTCATTGATTATGAATTCCATAAAATCTTTAACAAGGGTGCCTGGGTGGCTCAGTCGTTAAGTGTCTGCCTTCGGCTCAGGTCATGATCTCAGGGGCCTGGAATCGAGCCCCGCATC